GTGTGTGCGTGTGTGTGTGGGTGCTTATATATGTGTGTTTTGCCTTTGTAAGTGTTTGTGTGCCTATGTGCGTGTGTGTGTGTGCTTATGAGCTGTGTGTGTGCGTGTGTGTGTGGGTGCTTATATATGTGTGTTTTGCCTTTGTAAGTGTTTGTGTGCCTATGTGCGTGTGTGTGTGTGCTTATGAGCTGTGTGTGTGCGTGTGTGTGTGGGTGCTTATATATGTGTGTTTTGCCTTTGTAAGTGTTTGTGTGCCTATGTGCGTGTGTGTGTGTGCTTATGAGCTGTGTGTGTGCGTGTGTGTGTGGGTGCTTATATATGTGTGTTTTGCCTTTGTAAGTGTTTGTGTGCCTATGTGCGTGTGTGTGTGCTTATGAGCTGTGCGTGTGTGTGTGTGTGTGTGGGTGCTTATATATGTGTGTTTTGCCTTTGTAAGTGTTTGTGTGCCTATGTGCGTGTGTGTGTGTGCTTATGAGCTGTGCGTGTGTGTGTGTGTGTGTGGGTGCTTATATATGTGTGTTTTGCCTTTGTAAGTGTTTGTGTGCTTATGTGCGTGTGTGTGTGTGTGTGTGTGTGTGCGCTTATATATGTGTGTTTTGCCTTTGTAAGTGTTTGTGTGCTTATGTGTATGTGCGTGTGTGTGTGTGTGTGTGTGTGCTTATGAGCTGTGCGTGTGTGTGTGCTTATATATGTGTGTTTCGCCTTTGTAAGTGTTTGTGTGCTTATGTGCGTGTGTGTCTGTGTGTGTGTGTGTGTGTGTGTGCTTATATATGTGTGTTTCGCCTTTGTAAGTGTACTTGTGTGTTCCTGTATGTGTGTTTGGCTTGTGGAAATGTGTTGTGTGTTTTTTGTCTGGGGTTAGGGTTAGTGGGGGTGAGGCTCAGTCGCTTTCATCACAGACGTGTCAACACTTCGTATCCTCCAGAATACACTTTTTTTTCTTTTCCAAAGCCGAGAACTGGGACAGATTTGTCGGTTGTTAGGGGAAATATCAGGATTAACAAAGACATGATCCAAATAAAAACACCAGGATCATGCACAGCGCTAAACCACGGATTAGTGAGCCAAAAACACTGGGTGTGACACTTTCGCAGTTGGATTTTAAAGTGAATGGGACATGAACCTATACAGGCTTCATAGATCCACTCCCATCTACACTCCATGGTTCTAATGCTACATTCGGCTGATCCTAATAAAAGGGTTAACGGATGATTTGAAAACCGATTTATAGTCTCAATAATTTTCTCTTTCATCTTCCCACTCCAAGGTCCAGGTTGACAAGATGCATATCGATATATCAGTAAATGGACCTCACATATGAGGTAAAGTCTTGAAGCACGTCCTCTTCATCCTAATTCCAGTTGATACTGACCGTCTTAAGACAAGGCGACATATTAAGCAACATTGACTTTGACTTTGAATTGAATGTTGAGTGTTTTTATGTCCGATCAGGCTAATATCAGGAACTATGTAACTCCGCCCCATCAGTCTTAAAGTGATAGTCTGGAGTTGGTCAGAAAAGAGAGAGAGAGGGACATGATTTGAAAAAAAAACACCCAAGCTCCCGCCCCCTTCCTTTCTGATTGGTGTTGAAGCCGCGCCTACTTTTTCGTGCACGCTCCAGAGGAGAGATTATTAATTAAAATATTCGAATATTTAATCATAATGTATCACACGCTCCTCGCAGCAGCAGGAGAACGCTCCATTGATTTTAATGCAATTTCAAAACGTTCTACCGATCATTGGTTCTGACTCTCAAACCAATAATGACCGCTGCCCTTTGGCAACGCACTCTGTGTTTGTAGTTCGTACACTTTCAGCGCCTGTCACTTATTCTTCTGTCTGTGCGAGAAGCTAACGAAGCTAGCCACAGTCAATAACACAAATATCAATCAATCAACACATTTAAATGTTAATGAGAGAATAAATTATACATATACATTCTTCACACACGTGCACAGAGGCTTTCAGCTTTATTTGGTAATGTTTTCATGACAAAAATACTGTTTTACTGTACAAGTACACAAAAAGTGGATTTGAGGGTGAGTTGTCCAAAGGGCTGTCTAATATTCGTTCAAATGCATATTTTCAAATTATGTTTGAATATTTAATTTAGTTTTCCCAACCCTACGTGTATCAGTGAAAGAAAAAAGCACTATACAAAACCAATGCATAATAATTATCATTATTACTAACAAAATCAATCAAAAACTAAAAAACCACAGAGCACTACAAAACTCCTGCAGCGTTAAAAGAGAATAGAAGTGACTAATTCAGAATATTTCATCTTTTCAAATCAAGCACAGGGCCTTTCTGTGTCTTTGCGATGCAGCGGGAGAGTGCTTTCTCTGAGCGCACATGTGCAGTGTGAAAGTGCACGGTGCCGTTTGTGGCACCACGGCTGTTGTGTATTACTCATGCTGTGTACCCGCCAATCTGGCAACGCACCCTTTATGAGAAGCCACGACGCCTCGCTACCATCTTCCCTGTCTGTCATGTCCCTCTAAAAACACCAGAAAAACAAGTGCAGCCGTGCAGCGATCAGGCCCCAGCGCGACCGAGGAGGACGCAATCGCAATTTCTGTGTTCCCAACGGCACGTGGCAAATTAAAGGTAAAGAGATATGCCTAAAAGGATATTTTAGTAAGTGCTGAGCATATTTGACTTATAAGTTATGGTTGAATATAGAAGATATCTAATACTTTTCCAGTATGTGATTCCAGTATGTGATCCCAGTATGTGATCCCAGTATGTGATTCCAGTGTGTGATTTGTGATTCCAGTATGTGATTTGTGATCCCAGTATGTGATTCCAGTATGTGATTTGTGATCCCAGTATGTGATCCCAGTATGTGATTTGTGATCCCAGTATGTGATTCCAGTGTGTGATTTGTGATTCCAGTATGTGATTCCAGTATGTGATTCCAGTATGTGATTTGTGATTCCAGTATGTGATTTGTGATCCCAGTATGTGATCCCAGTGTGTGATTTGTGATCCCAGTATGTGATCCCAGTGTGTGATTTGTGATCCCAGTATGTGATTCCAGTATGTGATTTGTGATCCCAGTATGTGATCCCAGTGTGTGATTTGTGATCCCAGTATGTGATCCCAGTGTGTGATTTGTGATCCCAGTATGTGATCCCAGTGTGTGATTTGTGATCCCAGTATGTGATTCCAGTATGTAATTTGTGATTCCAGTATGTGATTTGTGATCCCAGTATGTGATCCCAGTATGTGATTCCAGTATGTGATTTGTGATCCCAGTATGTGATTCCAGTATGTGATTTGTGATTCCAGTATGTGATTTGTGATTCCAGTATGTGATTCCAGTATGTGATCCCAGTATGTGATCCTTTTGTTTGTTTTAAAGGTATATAGGAGGATATTCCCAAATTTTAGGAAAGAACCGCCCTCTCCACTTTTTGAACAAAACTCTCTGGTCTTATTTGACGAGCACGTATCACCAGAATGATTGACAGTTGGGAGGACCAATAATGACTAATTATATAACCCCGCCTTTAATCCATTAAAATTGCAAATTAAGCATTTAAAGAAATATTGCTTATTGTCTAACCCAGTGTCTCCCAAAGTGGGGTCCGCGGCCCCCTGGTGGGCCGCGAGGGTACTGCAGGGGGGCCGCGGGAGGTCATAAAAAAATAAATAATAATAATATAATTATTTATTGTTAAATTTATAATGTTTTGTTTGTAATATTAAAATATTTGTGTTCATTATTTGACTTGAATAATCCACTATAATCATTTTTGTATTACAATGTTTGTAGCAGAGGCTATTTCCCCAAAATAAAATAACCAGAAGAGCCTATTCTTAATGTTGTCTTCTTGGTTATTATTTTGGGGGGCCACGCAGACCCGTCAGATTTTTAAGGGGGCCTCGGTGTTACTGAGTTTGGGAATGGCTGGTCTAACCAAATGTGTTATTGTGACAGGCCTACGGATAAGTGCATGTGCAATGTGAAAAGTCATCAGAGTAGTCCGTCCCAGGGCAACTGTGGCTGAAACGGCATCTAATTAGCGCTGTGTAAATCAAATGAATGGGTTTTTGAAATATGCTATTAAAGAAGACATAAGACTGCCTGCTATAATGTACGGATCATTCTTATCACAATTTGTTAATCAATCTAAAATGGTGTAATAATAAATCAGTGGCAGTCACAGCACTCAGGAGCCAGGGGGCAATATAAATAACTCAAAGATGCAGAAATTGCTCTAAAAATAGCTGAGTGAAAGAGAAAACAACTAGAACACTGTCAAAGCTCTGAAAAGTCCATTTTGTATCTTATGTCTATAGACTGTATATAAACGGACGTAGTCACGCCTATCTCCGCCGTTCTAACTAATGTGAAAAATGGAATATGTGAAAAAATGCATCTGTGCATGCGTCAGCTCCATTTATTTAAACGAGTGACTTCAAAAGTCCACAGCGACTAAACTAGACTGGACCAGAACACTCAGCATTGACACACATGTGGAACGGAGCTTTGGGCCAAGAGACAACTTTTGGTCCATCCTGTAAAGACGTTTTCCAGAGTTAAGAAGATGCTATATGTTAGCATTGGCTAATTCTTATTCCGGGTCCACCCCCACAGGCCCGGGGTGGTACTGCAGCATGTCAGCGCACGTCATTTTGGCCACTTTTGAGCCGGGACCCGCCCACACTGATTATGTCCCGTGCAAGGACTTGTACCCAATGTTTACAGAATATTGTCGATTTCCATTATGTTTATTTTTTCACGTTTTGTTGTAGTCTGAGCTTATTTCTCATTCCTCACATTCACCAGCGCTTTTTACAACTTTCTGAGCCCAGGAGAGCGCAGTTTGCCATTGTTGCAAACGTAACTATGCTAGCTCAGATACTGGCTTTGTCCAAACACGTTTTAACCTTTGCTGAAATGAACGCAAACATAAATACAAGCCACGACGAATATGTGGCCGAGCCAAAAATACAATTTTGAATTAATGATGAGCACAAGCGACCCAATGGCGGAGCAGGAGGAGGAAAAGCAAAGACACATGGCTAACGAGAGCGGACGGCAGCGTAGGAGGAGTGTCAAGAGCAATAACAGAGAGAGGGGCAGATGTGGGAGATATCCAGGAGATCGCACAGACTGCCCATGGAGCACGAAAGACAAGGACGCTCTTGTTTTCTCAGTGTTTTCAGTGATAATACAAGGCAGAGAGCTACTCCTTTTTGTAGTCGGAATAACAATCTATGACTGTGATGAGTACGACAAAACATGGAGAACACGTGTAAAATCTACCATGTTCCTCTATGAGTATGGAAGATTTTATGTGTGGTCAGATTTTGAATTTTTTTTAGCTTGAATTCTTCAGTTTGAAAATGTTTAACCCTGAAAAAGCAAGTTTGAATATGTTTATCTTTACATTTCAGTCACTAAAAATTCAGTTTACAAATTTCAATGTGATTAAAATTTCAAAATGACATATTCACCGTCAAAATATTCAAAAACAAAATTTTCAATGAAAAAAAAAAAGACGGATTATTTCTTCCATCAGAAATTGAATTTTAAATGGACCTGAATTCATCTATTTGAATGTTTTTAACATCTTGAATATTTTTTTCTGTGAATTTCAGTCACTGATTATCAATTTCATAATGTCAAATTCAACAGTCAAAATTCAACAAATAATCCGTCTGTTTTTTTTTACATTGAAAAAATATATATATTGAATATTTTGAGGGTGAATATGTCATTTTGAAATTTTAATCACATTTAAATTTGTAAACTGAATTTTTAGTAACTGAAAAGTAAAGATAAAAATATTCAAACTTGCTTTTTCAGGGTTAAAAATTTCAAACGGAAAAATTCAAGCTAAAAAAAATTCTAAATCTGACGACACATAAAATCTTCCATATATGAGCCTATAATTATACTTAGAAAAGATATGTTAATGACTCCAAAGGGAATCATTCAGGATCATGGGTTGAATTATAAATCCTATGGGAGCTACCTGAAAGAGGCTGGGGAGTTCCTGGTATGCTACCTGAAAGAGGCTGGGGAGTTCCTGGTATGGTACCTGAAAGAGGCTGGGGAGTTCCTGGTATGCAAAGAGGCTGGGGAGTTCCTGGTATGCTACCTGAAAGAGGCTGGGGAGTTCCTGGTATGCTACCTGAAAGAGGCTGGGGAGTTCCTGGTATGCTACCTGAAAGAGGCTGGGGAGTTCCTGGTATGGTACCTGAAAGAGGCTGGGGAGTTCCTGGTATGCTACCTGAAAGAGGCTGGGGAGTTCCTGGTATGCAAAGAGGCTGGGGAGTTCCTGGTATGCTACCTGAAAGAGGCTGGGGAGTTCCTGGTATGGTACCTGAAAGAGGCTGGGGAGTTCCTGGTATGCAAAGAGGCTGGGGAGTTCCTGGTATGCTACCTGAAAGAGGCTGGGGAGTTCCTGGTATGCTACCTGAAAGAGGCTGGGGAGTTCCTGGTATGCTACCTGAAAGAGGCTGGGGAGTTCCTGGTATGGTACCTGAAAGAGGCTGGGGAGTTCCTGGTATGCTACCTGAAAGAGGCTGGGGAGTTCCTGGTATGGTACCTGAAAGAGGCTGGGGAGTTCCTGGTATGGTACCTGAAAGAGGCTGGGGAGTTCCTGGTATGCTACCTGAAAGAGGCTGGGGAGTTCCTGGTATGCTACCTGAAAGAGGCTGGGGAGTTCCTGGTATGGTACCTGAAAGAGGCTGGGGAGTTCCTGGTATGGTACCTGAAAGAGGCTGGGGAGTTCCTGGTATGCTACATGAAAGAGGCTGGGGAGTTCCTGGTATGGTACCTGAAAGAGGCTGGGGAGTTCCTGGTATGGTACCTGAAAGAGGCTGGGGAGTTCCTGGTATGCTACCTGAAAGAGGCTGGGGAGTTCCTGGTACGCTACCTGAAAGAGGCTGGGGAGTTCCTGGTATGCTACCTGAAAGAGGCTGGGGAGTTCCTGGTATGCTACCTGAAAGAGGCTGGGGAGTTCCTGGTATGGTACCTGAAAGAGGCTGGGGAGTTCCTGGTATGCTACATGAAAGAGGCTGGGGAGTTCCTGGTATGGTACCTGAAAGAGGCTGGGGAGTTCCTGGTATGCTACCTGAAAGAGGCTGGGGAGTTCCTGGTATGCAAAGAGGCTGGGGAGTTCCTGGTATGCTACCTGAAAGAGGCTGGGGAGTTCCTGGTATGCTACCTGAAAGAGGCTGGGGAGTTCCTGGTATGCTACCTGAAAGAGGCTGGGGAGTTCCTGGTATGCAACCTGAAAGAGGCTGGGGAGTTCCTGGTATGCTACCTGAAAGAGGCTGGGGAGTTCCTGGTATGGTACCTGAAAGAGGCTGGGGAGTTCCTGGTATGCTACCTGAAAGAGGCTGGGGAGTTCCTGGTATGCTACCTGAAAGAGGCTGGGGAGTTCCTGGTATGCTACCTGAAAGAGGCTGGGGAGTTCCTGGTATGGTACCTGAAAGAGGCTGGGGAGTTCCTGGTATGCTACCTGAAAGAGGCTGGGGAGTTCCTGGTATGCTACCTGAAAGAGGCTGGGGAGTTCCTGGTATGGTACCTGAAAGAGGCTGGGGAGTTCCTGGTATGGTACCTGAAAGAGGCTGGGGAGTTCCTGGTATGCTACATGAAAGAGGCTGGGGAGTTCCTGGTATGGTACCTGAAAGAGGCTGGGGAGTTCCTGGTATGGTACCTGAAAGAGGCTGGGGAGTTCCTGGTATGCTACCTGAAAGAGGCTGGGGAGTTCCTGGTACGCTACCTGAAAGAGGCTGGGGAGTTCCTGGTATGGTACCTGAAAGAGGCTGGGGAGTTCCTGGTATGCAAAGAGGCTGGGGAGTTCCTGGTATGCTACCTGAAAGAGGCTGGGGAGTTCCTGGTATGCTACCTGAAAGAAGAGGCTGGGGAGTTCCTGGTATGGTACCTGAAAGAGGCTGGGGAGTTCCTGGTATGCTACATGAAAGAGGCTGGGGAGTTCCTGGTATGGTACCTGAAAGAGGCTGGGGAGTTCCTGGTATGCTACCTGAAAGAGGCTGGGGAGTTCCTGGTATGCTACCTGAAAGAGGCTGGGGAGTTCCTGGTATGCAACCTGAAAGAGGCTGGGGAGTTCCTGGTATGCTACCTGAAAGAGGCTGGGGAGTTCCTGGTATGGTACCTGAAAGAGGCTGGGGAGTTCCTGGTATGCTACCTGAAAGAGGCTGGGGAGTTCCTGGTATGCTACCTGAAAGAGGCTGGGGAGTTCCTGGTATGCAAAGAGGCTGGGGAGTTCCTGGTATGCTACCTGAAAGAGGCTGGGGAGTTCCTGGTATGCTACCTGAAAGAGGCTGGGGAGTTCCTGGTATGCAACCTGAAAGAGGCTGGGGAGTTCCTGGTATGCTACCTGAAAGAGGCTGGGGAGTTCCTGGTATGGTACCTGAAAGAGGCTGGGGAGTTCCTGGTATGCTACCTGAAAGAGGCTGGGGAGTTCCTGGTATGCTACCTGAAAGAGGCTGGGGAGTTCCTGGTATGCAAAGAGGCTGGGGAGTTCCTGGTATGGTACCTGAAAGAGGCTGGGGAGTTCCTAGTATGGTACCTGAAAGAGGCTGGGGAGTTCCTGGTATGCTACCTGAAAGAGGCTGGGGAGTTCCTGGTATGCTACCTGAAAGAGGCTGGGGAGTTCCTGGTATGCAAAGAGGCTGGGGAGTTCCTGGTATGCTACCTGAAAGAGGCTGGGGAGTTCCTGGTATGCTACCTGAAAGAGGCTGGGGAGTTCCTGGTATGCAAAGAGGCTGGGGAGTTCCTGGTATGCAACCTGAAAGAGGCTGGGGAGTTCCTGGTATGCTACCTGAAAGAGGCTGGGGAGTTCCTGGTATGCTACCTGAAAGAGGCTGGGGAGTTCCTGGTATGGTACCTGAAAGAGGCTGGGGAGTTCCTGGTATGCTACCTGAAAGAGGCTGGGGAGTTCCTGGTATGCTACCTGAAAGAGGCTGGGGAGTTCCTGGTATGCAACCTGAAAGAGGCTGGGGAGTTCCTGGTATGCTACCTGAAAGAGGCTGGGGAGTTCCTGGTATGCTACCTGAAAGAGGCTGGGGAGTTCCTGGTATGCTACCTGAAAGAGGCTGGGGAGTTCCTGGTATGCAACCTGAAAGAGGCTGGGGAGTTCCTGGTATGCTACCTGAAAGAGGCTGGGGAGTTCCTGGTATGCTACCTGAAAGAGGCTGGGGAGTTCCTGGTATGCTACCTGAAAAAGGCTGGGGAGTTCCTGGTATGCAAAGAGGCTGGGGAGTTCCTGGTATGCTACCTGAAAGAGGCTGGGGAGTTCCTGGTATGCTACCTGAAAGAGGCTGGGGAGTTCCTGGTATGGTACCTGAAAGAGGCTGGGGAGTTCCTGGTATGCTACCTGAAAGAGGCTGGGGAGTTCCTGGTATGCTACCTGAAAGAGGCTGGGGAGTTCCTGGTATGGTACCTCAAAGAGGCTGGGGAGTTCCTGGTATGCTACCTGAAAGAGGCTGGGGAGTTCCTGGTATGCTACCTGAAAGAGGCTGGGGAGTTCCTGGTATGGTACCTGAAAGAGGCTGGGGAGTTCCTGGTATGCTACCTGAAAGAGGCTGGTGAGTTCCTGGTATGGTACCTGAAAGAGGCTGGGGAGTTCCTGGTATGGTACCTGAAAGAGGCTGGGGAGTTCCTGGTATGCTACCTGAAAGAGGCTGGGGAGTTCCTGGTATGCTACCTGAAAGAGGCTGGGGAGTTCCTGGTATGCAAAGAGGCTGGGGAGTTCCTGGTATGCAACCTGAAAGAGGCTGGGGAGTTCCTGGTATGCTACCTGAAAGAGGCTGGGGAGTTCCTGGTATGCTACCTGAAAGAGGCTGGGGAGTTCCTGGTATGGTACCTGAAAGAGGCTGGGGAGTTCCTGGTATGCTACCTGAAAGAGGCTGGGGAGTTCCTGGTATGCTACCTGAAAGAGGCTGGGGAGTTCCTGGTATGCAACCTGAAAGAGGCTGGGGAGTTCCTGGTATGCTACCTGAAAGAGGCTGGGGAGTTCCTGGTATGCTACCTGAAAGAGGCTGGGGAGTTCCTGGTATGCTACCTGAAAGAGGCTGGGGAGTTCCTGGTATGCAACCTGAAAGAGGCTGGGGAGTTCCTGGTATGCTACCTGAAAGAGGCTGGGGAGTTCCTGGTATGCTACCTGAAAGAGGCTGGGGAGTTCCTGGTATGCTACCTGAAAAAGGCTGGGGAGTTCCTGGTATGCAAAGAGGCTGGGGAGTTCCTGGTATGCTACCTGAAAGAGGCTGGGGAGTTCCTGGTATGCTACCTGAAAGAGGCTGGGGAGTTCCTGGTATGGTACCTGAAAGAGGCTGGGGAGTTCCTGGTATGCTACCTGAAAGAGGCTGGGGAGTTCCTGGTATGCTACCTGAAAGAGGCTGGGGAGTTCCTGGTATGGTACCTCAAAGAGGCTGGGGAGTTCCTGGTATGCTACCTGAAAGAGGCTGGGGAGTTCCTGGTATGCTACCTGAAAGAGGCTGGGGAGTTCCTGGTATGGTACCTGAAAGAGGCTGGGGAGTTCCTGGTATGCTACCTGAAAGAGGCTGGTGAGTTCCTGGTATGGTACCTGAAAGAGGCTGGGGAGTTCCTGGTATGGTACCTGAAAGAGGCTGGGGAGTTCCTGGTATGCTACCTGAAAGAGGCTGGGGAGTTCCTGGTATGCTACCTGAAAGAGGCTGGGGAGTTCCTGGTATGCTACCTGAAAGAGGCTGGGGAGTTCCTGGTATGCTACCTGAAAGAGGCTGGGGAGTTCCTGGTATGCTACCTGAAAGAGGCTGGGGAGTTCCTGGTATGCTACCTGAAAGAGGCTGTGGAGTTCCTGGTATGGTACCTGAAAGAGGCTGGGGAGTTCCTGGTATGCTACCTGAAAGAGGCTGGGGAGTTCCTGGTATGCTACCTGAAAGAGGCTGGGGAGTTCCTGGTATGCTACCTGAAAGAGGCTGGGGAGTTCCTGGTATGGTACCTGAAAGAGGCTGTGGAGTTCCTGGTATGCAACCTGAAAGAGGCTGGTGAGTTCCTGGTATGCTACCTGAAAGAGGCTGGGGAGTTCCTGGTATGCTACCTGAAAGAGGCTGGGGAGTTCCTGGTATGGTACCTGAAAGAGGCTGTGGAGTTCCTGGTATGCAACCTGAAAGAGGCTGGTGAGTTCCTGGTATGGTACCACACACATCTCACACGAACCCATTTCTCCCCCGAGCATTCCCAGGTCAAGCGGAAATCTCACAAAATCTCGCGAGATTAAGCGTGACTTCAGAGTAAACAATCATGGCGGACGAAGTTTCCAGTTTGTTTTTAGCAGAGAAAAGGCGACGGTCAAAGAAGTGGAGACAACACTAGCTCGGACTCACTTCATCGTGATCTGGAGTTGTTTTATTCTTCATAGGAATGTCGTATCCTTCCTCGTCTTCTGATTGGCTACACGCCGCAGTCATGGCAACGCGCTCGTCTGTTCCCAACACCACACACGAGGAGAAATCGGGCCAAAACAATCCACCATTTTGGATATTCCCAATTTGAGATTGGAGCAGTCCTGAAGTCTTAACACACCACACACGGAAAATCCAGTTTTTTAACAAAAATTGTAGCGTTCTTAAGATTGTCGTTAACTCATTGACTGCTGCCGTTTTTGATGATTTCACTGTTTTTCAAGACCCACAGAATATTATTTCCTAGGACTATGTGAAATATGAAACCAGATTCTGAAAGACTGGATTGTCTACTTTCATTAGCAAAAATAAATTTGTTTATAGCTGTTTTTATTGTCCTGTAATCCCCGGTCGAATAGAGGGTCTCAGACAAATACGTCAATGGCAGTCAATGAGTTAACTCAACACTGGTGAAGAGGGAAGTCTGGGTGTCGCTGCTTAGACTGCTGCCTCCATAAAACAGACAAATATTTATTGTTGGTGTGCATCTTAATTGTATATTTTTATTGTTTATGTAGATTTTAATGTTTATGATTAATGCTTGGTGTTAAATGGGTTATAAGGCGCTTTGTGTTGCCTTGTGTAGGAAAGGCACTCTACAAATAAAAGTTGATTGACTTGTTTTTTAGTGAGTTGACTGGTTGCATTATAGATGAAACCCAAAAAGCCTCTCACACAGAAACTGAAATGAAATGTTGAAAATGAACTTGTGTCACAGTGTCCATGTGCTGTGATGATAAAGTCCCTCCGCAGAGCCCTCACTTAAAGACCTTATGACGGGTTTGATTTATTTAGAAATACAGTTTTAATACCATTTTATATTAGAAGAGAACTACTAAAAGGTTTCAAAATCAGTTTTTTTTTTTTGTCTGATCCCCCCAAATCGAAATAACCCCATAGCAACGCCCTTAGAGACGAAAAAACTTCACAGCCCTTGGTGACGTCAGAGTGGGTACGTTTCAGTACCCACTCAGTAGTTTACAATTTGGTATTCGTTCTTTTTTCGCGGATATTCAAGATGACAAGGCCGTGTACAACGAGTGTTAAATTACTACTAGACTATG